ATAACATTATACTTACTTGGTTCTAAAAATTATACACATTAAGTTCAGTTGCTGTATTGAGAACAGAACAAGTCCTGTAAGCTGTTGTGCTGAATTGCTAGTCGGTTTTACATATGGCAACCCAAACTGTTGTTTCATCTCTGTATGGAGAAATGTTTGCAATAATATTTTTTCTTTTTTGTATAATGTTAATATTTTTGGGTTATATGCGATAACTGTATTTTGGAATCAGCACCCCCGAGGGGGTGTGCCCCACATGTTGAAAACCGCTGCTCTAGGGTATTCAGAAATTAAGCGATTGCAAATTGCACGTTACCATCGACAAGTTTTTAAAAGCTCTAAGTTTTAATGATTTTAGGAACATATTAATTACCAAGCAATATTTTACTGTCTATAATTGATACTTATAAATTGGCGACACATTTTTCTTACGGAAAAACGTCATAGTCACAGTACTTCAATTTCATATAACTCAGTATTTAAATATTAATTTGACTTCAACCATTTTTTTGTAATAGTACTCAGAAGAGTTTTTAGAGAATTTTTTGTTGAATGATAACCTTGTGAGATACCGTAATCATCTGACCTTGTTAAATTAAATGATTAGTAAGTTGTATACATGATTACCATGGCAAAAATGTAACGAATTATATCAATTATGCATTGATAAAGTTTGATAAGAAATTATCATCCTAATTTTTAATATTTGTGTTGTATGAAATCAATAAACATTGAAACCAGGAAATGAATGATTAATTTAGATAGCAATTGAAGTATCCCTGATTTAATAATTTTATTCAAATAAACATAAAACACTAAAATGGATAGAATTTTTATTGTTTTTTTATTATTGTTATTATCAACATCGTTATTTAAACATACAATATCTTTTTTTATTTACATTTGTGAATTACAATCGAATTACAATCGTTCTTATACAACATTCAATATGATGTAAACATACAATATGATTATCATTAAATAATAAGAAAATCTCTTAAAGCTTATAAGGAACATATTTCTTTTTCTATGGAGACAGGAGTGTCGATTTGCCTTTATTTTAGAAAAGAATGCTTAAAACGTTATTACTTAAAAAGCTTTTTTATAAATGGAAAATACTAAGGAGTATGTGCTTGATAATACTTTAGGAAAAAGAGGTGCTCAAACGTTAACTTTTTAACTTCCCGTAGGGTAATCAACTTCCCGTAGGGTAAGTTATAGTAATCGCAAAAAAATCGAAAATGAAAATTTTTATATATCTTTACGTTTCAGAGGTTTCTGAATATTTTGGCATACCTTAGAAAAAATGGATGTATGTGTGTGTGTGTGCGTGTACGTGTGTGTGTGTGCGTGTACGTGTGTGTGTGTGTGTGTGTGTGTGCGGATATAAATTTTCGTCGACGATTTCGGGAACAGGGTTCAACCAATTTCAATTATTCAAAAAACATTCGATTGCTGTTGAAAAGGAGACGTGCTGATTAGTTTTTGGCATAGGCAGGTCTAGCCGTTTGAAAGATACGAAGCAAGAACTGTCACAAACGGGAAATCAGTTTTTAAGAGAACGGAGCGTCCGATTTTAATAATTCAAAAAACATTTTACTTGTATTGACAAGATGAAGAATTGATCAAATTGTCATGAAGGCAGGTCTAGCGGATTTGGAAATCCAGTAAAAAAGCCATTTGGCGGTCAAAATTGATCACTAGACATATGCACATCAAATTATCAGATATTTTATAGAGATTTTAACAATAAGTATAAATTTGGTTTACATTTCTATGGGTTCGAAAATGGTTACGATTGCTTCGAAAAAAAGTTTAGAATTTCCAAACTATACCAAAATAAAGAAAACTTTTTTCTTTCAAACAATTTTTTTTTTCAAAAAAAAAAAGATTTTTTTTGTCGAATTTATAGTTTCTCAAAAATCTAATTTTCTCGAACTAAATTTTTTTCAAAAATGTTAATCGCTTTTAAAAAAATAATAATTTTTGGTACGGGAAGTTCCTGCAATTTGCCTTAAGGCACGATGCCATGCCCCTACTAGTTATCTTATCCCATCTTTGGAGTTGCATAAGATATGTTAGAATTTTTTTTTTTTTTATTTTTATTTTCATATTATATAACAATCAGAGTTATTTACATACCCTATGAGTTATATGGCTAAATTACACATAATAATAATAATAATAATAATCACAAAAATAAATGAAAAAAAATAACAATAATAATAATAAATAAATAAATAAAAATAGATAAAAAAATAGAAGAAAAAAAAAATAAAGAAAGTAAAAAGAAACAAAAGAAAAAAAAATTATAGTAATTGCTCCAATAAGCAATTGACTATGGAAAACAATTTTTTTACATTAGGTCTATAGGCTGTTATATGTTAGAATGATTTTTTTTTTTTTTTCTTTTCGCGGACTCAACATGATTTGAAAAGATTGGATGGCCGATGTATCAGCAATTGCATTAGATTTATCAGCATCATTATGTAAATACTGATTGTTAACTTTAAGAATAGGAATGATTTCATTTTTTTTTTTTGAATTTTTCAGTACAATACCGAATATTATTATGACAGATATTAGAAGTTTCTAGCTTCTTTTTCCATATTTCGTTTTTGAAATTTGAAATAGCAATATTGGGGATTATTAGCTTTTTTCCATAATCTACGAATTTTATTTTTATATTTGATATCATTAATAATATTTTTTGAAGCTCTAAACAACAGTCAGTTTTTCTTTTGGGCACTGAGATATTAATGCATGTGATATCGTTGTCGAAAGATGGTTAATTGCGTCATAAATTAGTTGTGGTTTATCTAGAGATTGGTGATAATGTTTAATTGTATATGCATATATTGCATACGGGGCATCAGAATTTATTTTAGAGATGTGGTTTTTTCGGCAAAGTATCTTATTTTGATCCGTAGTATTCAAAAATCATATGTGGCTATGCGACTTTTTTACTCATACAAATCCACCCGCATATATATGCATTTATGTTATAACTTCAATGACCGAAATAGAAAACACATTAAGCTCATAAGCACAACTATTGCATTTTACATTTTGTGGACAATTGAAAAGCCATTGTTCTTTGTTCTATTGAAATCTTGCTCGTTTTTGTAAATATATCTATTATGCATACATGTTTATGCCAATGATAATGTTATTTATATTTCACGTGAACGTGGTGTTAAATTGATTGCTAACTTAATAATGTGGTGTTTAATTGATTATTGTTGAACGATTCCATGCAATTTCTTTCCATAACATTATTTCGCCATATTTTGTAATAACTGCCAAAAGGTATTATCGAGATTATAGAGCGTATGCAAAATAGAATCTTAAAACATAAAATAACTAGCTGTAAGTGGAATTCTGTCTTAAGGCAATTAAGGCATCGTGCCTTAAGGCAAATTGCTGGAACTTCCCGTACCAAAAATTATTATTTTTTTAAAAACGATTAACATTTTTGAAAAAAATTTACTTTGAAAAAATAAGATTTTTGAGAAACTATAAATTGGACAAAAAATTACTTTTTTTTGAAAAAAAAAGTTTTTTTTTAATTTTTTTTTTTTGAAAAAAAAAAATTTTTTTCTTTATTTTGACATATTGTGGAAGATCTGAACTTTTTTTTCAAAGCAATCGTACTGCTTTAACTGCATAGGGACAAAATATAAAGCGCGTAAGCGCCGCGTCGCTGTCTAACGCATAAGCATTGGTACGGAACCCATAGGAATGTTAACAAAATGTATACTTATTGTTAAAATCTCTATAAAATATCTGATAATTTGATGTGCATATGTCTAATGATCATTTTTGACCGCCAAATGGCTCATTTTTTTACTTTTTCCTCCATATCTCCGAAACCGCTAGACCTACCTTCATGAAAATTTTATCGATTTTTCATCTTGTCAATACAAGTGAAACGTTTTTTGAATTATTCAAATCGGACGCTCCGTTCTCTTAAAAACTGAGTTACCGTTTTCGGCACTTTTTGCCCCGTATCTTCGGAACGGCTAGACCTGTCTTTGCCAAAAACTAATCAGCACGTCTCCTTATCAATACGAATCGAATGTTTTTTAAATTATTCAAATCGGTTGATCCGTGTTCCCGAAATCGTCGACGAAAATTTGTATCCGCACATACATACACACACGTACATACACACACACACACACACACACACACACATACATCCATTTTTTCTAAGGTATGCCAAAATGTTCAGAAACCTCTGAAACGTAAAGATATATAAAAATTTTCATTTTCGATTTTTTTGCGATTACTATAACTTACCCTACGGGAAGTTAAATATTGTAAATTAGCGTGAAAATGATCAATAAAATTGGTTATTTTGATAAAATTGTCAACTTTTTATTTTGAAAATTAAGTTTTGCTTTCTTTAAATTCAATGCATCTATGAACTGACATCTTTCCTACAGACTTACAATATCTGTAATTGTTTATAGAAAAAAAATTTTTTTTTCTATCCTAAACTCCGAAGAGTAAATACATAGTTTCGACAACTTGTCAAGTTATCATGATTATTAGTGTGTTTTACCATTTGTGATGTTTGTGTTAAAAAATACATATCTTATCAATGTGCACATACTCATACCATGGATTAATAATGGTTTCATATGCTATATTAGGATACAAAATTTTAACTTGATTACCACTGAATGATGGCTAAGATGCTAGCCGAAACGTATGGATTTTAAATAAATAAATTTTTTAAAAAAACTCATACTATTTTTATTGATGTTACGCCCGAATATTAAACTCAAATTAAACATATATATCAACATCAAATTCAAGACTATTCAAATATATATATATATATATATATATATATATATATATATATATTACAATGACAAACTGTAAAAAATAGAGGAAATGGGACGCAAACGATAAAATGGCACGCGAGCGCTCAGGACCCTTGGACCGCTACTGTATATATAAAAATAAATTTTATGTTATTTTTTTTGCAGCGGCCTGTGCTGGCATGTTCAGATGGACCTTTCCGCCAATTCCTGTTGCGCAACGTACCCTTGCTAAGACAGAAATTCTGGCCGACCCTATGGTGCGTGGAGGCGCGGGCGCAAACTGTGCTTGCCAGTCTCTTGCGTTCGAGATTACTGCCCGTTGTGAAGTACAGACGGTTGGTAATACAATTAAAAAAACGATAAACTTTTTTTTCAAATCAAGAGATATTATATGAAAAAGTGGCATTTTTTATAAATTCTAAACCTTTAATATTTAGGTGGGTAACATTGTGAGTGAATAGCTGGAATTCCCTATTTTACAAATAAAATATTAGACTTTAGAAGAAGCAGTTTCGAGCCATCACTCAGAAATATCGTATCATTTGTTGGACTTGCCTATTACCTATAAATAACTGTCAGCATTTGTGTTATAACAATGTGAAATCATTTGCTATATTTTGTGTAACTTTTAAACTGCTAAGCCTTCTAAGTCTGCCTTTAAGAAAAACAATACTAGTTACCAATTACCAATCATATTATTATTATTATTATTATTATTATTATTATTATATTATTAGTGCTTACTTAGAAGACAGATACATAACCATTTTTTGTTCACCGCTTATAGTTACTATGTAGTTATACTCTGCAATCTATTTTTCAAATTTTGCGTCCATGCTTCTGTGTATTGCATCCTGTATCATAATTATCTTCATTTTCTCAACTTGCTCAAACCATCTGCAAGTTTGTCTAGTTATTTCAATTTGTATTTCTTTTATAAATACTTTTTCCAACCCAGTTTCTAGAAATTGTAACAGAAAAGCTTTCATGGCACTTGTATTCAGTAAAATTATATCTCTTTTCCACAAAGGGGGCGTCCATTAATCACGTGAGGTTTTTAGGGGAGTGGGGGGGTTTGTTTGACAAAAAATCACGAAATACCTCGTGGGGGAGGGAGGAGTATAATAAGATATAACGTGTATTTATTTTTTACCTGAAATTAAAAAAAAATCGAAACCAAAGATCAGAAATTTTACGATTTTTTCTCGTAACTAAAAATACACGTGATGTTTGGTGGGGAAGGGGGGGGTTAATTTTGAATATCACCGCGTATCATCAAGGAGGACGGGGTCCAAAATTCCTTAAAAAGACGATCACCTAATTAAAGGACGCCCCCAAATTACAAATTTTATCAGAATGATGAAACGTACTTCTGCATTAGCAATATTACTTATTTAATTACCGTTTTAGCTATAAATAATCTTTACAATTTCCACGTTTATTTATGATTTATATTGTTTTGATCATTTTTATCGTTTCTTGTTGATAGCGATAAAAATGTCCTAAAAGAATTCTTTCATATTTACAGCGAAAACTATAATATTCTTTCTGAATTAACACATGTTAAATATAAATTTAATGCGTTTTATTTGCTATATCTAAATATTTTTAAACATGATTTTTGTTGACTTTTATGGCCCATCCGTAATGTTGACCATCGCAATATTGTTGTAAACTATAACCCAATATTTTGGTTACATTATATTTCAGAGAAATTTTAACATTGGCTGACGGTGGCGAAATTGGGCTCGATTGGCTAGAAACAGGATGTGATCCAAAGTCGCCAGTAATATTAATCCTTCCGGGATTGACTGGAGAATCGCAGGCAGAATATATTAAATGTCTTGCGTTATCTGCTAACAGCATAGGTGTTCGCTGTGTTGTATTCAATAACCGTGGTCTAGCAGGTGTACAACTAAAGGTACTATTAAAAAGGTTTTGTTCTAATGATTTTTATTTGGGAATTATGTGCAACTATTTCTTTAAGGAATAAAAAGCAAATTTGGTAAAGTGTCTTAGACAGTGGTTGCCAACATTGTACGCTACCCCACCCAACAAGCTGTTTGATTTTTTTTACAATCTAATTTTAAAAATAAATAATCAACTGAATAATATAATTTATAAGAATATACATAAAAAATATTGGTCTATTTATTTCTTATATAATTCCAACATTTTGATTTATTTTCGAAAATAGTATTTTGAAAGCAGTTGTACATCCCACTCTTGCAACAACCTCACGGCCTCCTGAGGAGTCACGCCTTACAGGTTGGAAACCACGGAGATAAAGTTTTGCTACTTCGGTAAGGGCTAAAATATAGCATCGAACTCTACTCCGGGACCAAGCTCTGAGGGATTTCAAAGAAATTCATTTAATTGTTTAACCCCTTTCCGTGCTATTTAGCTCGATGAATCTTGGGCCCGCAGATGTTAGGCGTTAACGCTTCTTCGCGCGTAATACCGCATGTCCACCGGTGGTACACCACAACGAACTAACATTACAGAACCGCGTGGCCACCGGTAGATACACGATATGTGTGTTATCTGGAATAGACCATTTTTTGGTGCGGTCCCAACAAGTAAAGAACGATTTTCGATGCGGTCTTCAAGGTGTTAAGCTGATCTCGAGAAAGGTTATAAAGCCTGCCGAAGGCGAGGCGGTGCTTGCGCGCTTCGATATTTCGTCTCTATGTAGCTAAAGCAGTGCGCGATTGCCTTGAAAAAAATTTCAAAATTTTCAAAGTTTTCAAAAATTTTCTTTTTTTTTTTAAATTTAAAATTTCTCAAAAATCTAATTTTTTCAAAGTTTAAAAAACAAAATTAATAATTAAATTAAAAATAAGTAATTAAAATTGGTATGGAAAGTTCCAGCAATTTGTCTTAAGGTACGATGCCATACACCACTAGTTTATTTATTGTTTCAACAGCATTCAGAACTACTTAACCTTACGTGTCCTATGAGCTGTTTGTTGAAGGCGGTCTCCATATTATGCATATTTAATGCCCTTGCCATAGCGGTTGCGAGATGGATTCGGACGAACCAAACATTACTCAACTCAGCGGAGTTTCACCAAAATCCCAGACGAGTTAACCCGAGGTTCTCAGTTCATTTCATACGAAGGATGGGGTTGCATTGTCTTACAGACTCGCCTCATCCTGGTATTTGAACAATTCGTAATTTATTCTAATGGTCATTATGATTTAATCATTTTCAATTTCCTATTTCAACATTTGGGCATAGTATGATAAAATATGTGCAAGTGGTCAATTAGGTTTATTGCTCATCTGTATGGCAATTTTCCATACCTTTAGGGAATTATATAGCTATTATGTGTCAACCAAGAAGGACTTCAAAAATTCTTCTGTGCGATAAGTCGATTATACAACGGTGTCTTTAAAATTTTTTAAATGCACGTGCTATTTGTTAAATTATTTGTGTTAATTTTGTTATCATGCTTGTTGTTCAATTTTGTTCTTTAAAAATTATATTTAAAAAAAGTGCTCGTATCGTAGATAGGACAATTATATTATTAGTTGGGAATCACATTAATTAATTTTTATGAAAAATAGGTCAAATTGTTTTTACAATACCAAAAACAGGTTTCTGTTAAAACGAATTTGAAAAAATTCTGTTAAAATTTTAATATTGGCTGCAAAGAGTGCAAAGAATTACGGCTTATTTTTAAGATGCATTTTTTATTAGGTTGAGAATATTATAGTTTTACGATGTTAGCTCGTGTAAACCGTTTTTTTTTTTGTCTCATTGTTAGACACCTCGTCTATATTGCGCAGCAAACGTTGATGATCTCTCTGAAGTAGTGGAACATGTGCATACTTTAAATTCAGATGTGCAGTTAGGCGCCGTAGGAATCTCTATGGGGGCTCTTCTCATAGGAAATTATATAGCCACAAGAAGCAAAAGGGCATCTAGTGTTTTAACAGCTGCCATGATCATATCTGCTCCATGGAATGTTTTCAAAGGTTGGTTCGTATATTGATATATATGGTCGAATTTTAATTTTATTTTATTCATTTATTCATTTATATGCAAACCATAATCAGTAATAATGATATTTTAATTTAATCAACATTCATTTGTAATTATTTATTCACTGCCTTAACTTTTCCCGGGCATTATCTTATATTTTAATTTAGCGAAAACTCTATTCGCAGATGATACAGTTGGATGTAGACAAAGAATGTTTCATAGAATGAATCATTTTTACTATATGTATTCTCAATAAGTTAATTCAACTGAAAATATTTAACGATCTTTTACTCAAAATATTAAACTTTAGTGACGGTGTACTTAAAGCGCTTGCCTACATATGTAGGCAAAAATTTATCTTGCATTGTAAAGATATTTATACATTTTTTTTTCATCTTTGGATGTAATTTATTTGCATTTTATAGGTACAAAAAGTATAGAAAAGCCTTATTTGAACAGTATGCTTGGTCGCTACTTGGCATCAAATTTATGTACAACATTGAAACAGTATAAAACTCAGATGATTGGGCCATGGGACATGGATAAAGTCCTGGCAGTAAGTAATAATTGAATCGTTACGATCGAATAAACTACTTTATCACTCATTAATTTTAGAGCAAAACCATAAAGGAATTTGATGAAAATTTTACTACATTGCATTTTGGTTACAAAAATATTGATGACTATTATTCTGCTGCAACTCTACATGATAAAATAGACAAGATTACAGTACCCTTGTTATGTCTCAGTGCCGCAGATGATCCATTTCAACCTCTCGATGGTAATTCAGTTGTTTTATTTGTTTTTATGTATTGTATTTTGCATTTAGAAAATAATATAAATCAAAATATAAGTAACTACTGAGATAAAGTCATGTTAGATATTTATTTTGATGTTTTTTAAGTCCCTTGAAAATAGATTTTGCTTTCTTTGTCATAGATTTACCGGAAATTTATTATTAAATTTTTGGATGCATTCAAAGCACTTTAATTTAATTACCACACAAATTTGTTTATAGTATTTGGTTAAAAATTATACTTATATGATATTAAAATTGGCCTTAATTATTTAATATTCTAACATATTTGTTTATATGTTACAGCTATTCCCATCGAGCAAGCAGAAAATAGTAGCTATGTTGCAATTGCTGTTACAGCCCGTGGAGGGCACATTGGTTTTATGGATGGATTGTGGCCTTTAACTCAAAATCAGTATATGGCAAGACTCTTTGGCCAATATTTTTCTGCTGTTTTTAATGTCAATAATGACATTAATTCTTTAAAAAAGAAAATTCAAGTACCTTATCAATGTGATAGTGTAGATTTATATTCGGCTGTTGCAAGTACTGTTAACTTATGATTATTTAAAGTTGAGCATAAAATAGTATTATTTTAGTATCATTCTTTTTAGATATAATTAATTAATCTGACTTTTTATAATTTTGTTTTACATATAAAATAAATAATGTTATTAATGTATAATTATATAGTCTAACCAGGAAATTCTCTAAATATATTATTCCTGATGTTATTTTGTTGTTTCTTTACTAGGAATATTTTATTAATGCGAATTTAGTACTGTGTAATTTCCATAAGTAATTTTTTTTTTTTAAATTATCAGAACTTATGGATTCTATGAGCTGTTGTGATTAATATCTTACAAACTACGTTTGTTTTATTATAGATGGCAACCCAAACAGTTGTCTCATCTCTATGTGCTGAATTTTTATTATAACAATTACTGTAATAGTGATGCATTTAATTGTTGCAGCAATACCGTATTAGGGCTGTTTTCACTTGGAAACATATTGCTATCTAATTTCTAAGCAAAAATCGTTGTCACATCGTGCTGCCTGACAACAGGCTGCTCGAAGTGGGTATCGAACCAAGAACCCCTGATCCAGGTCCGGTCGTTCTAGCCACTTACCTACGAGCAAGCCCTCCATAAGTAATAACACCATTTTTTTTTTTAAATGAAATTAAGGTCTTCTTAATTTAATTTGTGGCATTGTTCTATTTCATGTGTTTTAATACATGACATAAACCACTCTCTTAAAAGGGCTTTTCACTTTAGTAAAAGAGATTACTTTGATTAAAAAATTTTATTATACAAAATTATTAATATTTAACCTAAGATGTAAATACATTGATACTTTATGCTAAAATGGAAATGAAAGCAAATTCAATTGTATTTATATTTTGCCCTTACACCCCATTAAACATAACATGCACAGCATATATAATATAAAATCTATGAATCTCTAAATGCTGTATGAATGTGAAATCTTTATTTCGTTGGTGAATATAATACACATATATATAAATACATATGTATATATATATATATATATGTAAATTAGAACAATATAAACACAGCACAAAATATTATAGATGAGAAATTTAAGACAACATTATTGAAATATTACAACTTATATATTCCTTTCCTTTCAGATCTCAGGAAGATCATTTTTTGGGTGTTTGTTTTCAAAATGCTGCTTGTATGTTTTCGGATCTGGCATTTGAGCCTGAAAAATATTATATAATGCATCATAATTTCATACTATATTTGTTCATTACAGAAATTTGAGGAAATAACATTTTTACTTAGGTACTGTTAAACCAATTCGAGGAATTTTATTTCATAATATACTACTATATGCAAAATTTAAGATCTTATTTTCACAATATATGATAGTTTAAACATATTCAAGTCAAAGATAAATGTAAATGAAAACTCTTTCCGTTTGATTATTCTAAAAGAATAATCAAGTAATACTAAAATGCAGTAATAACATGTAGAAAAGTAGCACATTTAGCACTTGATTTTGAAGAACTTTGTCCTACCTTGCATATAGCACAACGTGAACAAGAGCTTTCTGAGCTGCCTTTTTTTGTTCGTTTGCACTGTGTCCTTTTTGTTTCTTCAATTTCGCCGATTTTTCAGCGGCTTTCTGTTGCGATTGCACTTTCTGCTGACCACGCGCCATGTCTGCGAAACATATGGTTAGAATTGATATGACCTTAAAAACTACAGTGCATAAAATGTAAACTAATTTAAATAAATTAAGTATTAGAAAAATAACAAAATTTAATGTGTAACACCTTTCCAAGAGAATTGTCGGGTTTACATTAATGAAAGAATGCCAAAACGACAAAACATATTGTGACGAAACAAATTAACAAACAAGCTACAAACACTTTTTTTTTTATTACAATTATAAAAATAATATATTAATTAACAAATCCTCACCTTGCACTTATCACTTAGAATTTGCTAGAGCAAAAATTTGACAGCTATTCCCTATTCTGTAGAAAAAGGAAAAGTATTGAGAAGATTGCAGCGCCATGTAAAAATTTCAACTGGAAATAGAGGGCGCGAAAATTCGAAAGTTTGACAGTTTCCTATAGCATTACGCCTTTTGTTTAAAATTGTGATCATAACCACAAAATGCGCATGGACGTGGAGTTAACGCGTTGTGCATCAAGGCTGTTTTTCAGGCAATTTAGTAAAAAATTAGACAAGCTAAGGGTACGACAGAGACCACAAACATACCAGGTCAGTCAAATGTAATACACATAGTTTAATTGTCAAACGCACAAGTTCATTTTTTCAATATTGTGTGAATAGGTTAAATATTTAGTCTAGATATACAATATTCATATTCAAAATATTTAATGACAAACAGACAGCAGTCGAATTGTAATATTGTCTGTCCACAATCTTAGCTGATATTAACCAATTTGTTCTGTAATATTTTCTGGATTATAAATTATTTCTTTACTAAAAGATTTATGTATGAAACAGTATTTGAATACCCGGTTGCTAAAGAGAGGGACAGAAGAGTATATGCTTGGGGACTTGCTGAAACTGGCGCTTTAGGTATCAGTGAGCCAAAAACAACAAGGAAGTCATTGTCTTCTGTGGTTACTCATCCAACTAGAATTAGTTTTGCTGAAAAATATGATATCACAGATATAGCTTGCGGCTATGGCTTTACATTATTTGCTGTTAAATCTAAGACGGTTAAAAGTATTTGGAACTGGCATTAATACAGATTCTCAAATCGGTAAACATGCTGTTAAGTTAACTTATGCAAAAAATCATTTATCTTTTAAATGTCTAAAGTACATTTCCTAATTTTCGTATTGTGTTTAACTTCAAATTAGATAAAATATCAAGATTGTGAATAAAAAATTAATGATTAAAACATTGGTACTTTAATGTTGATTTCATGTTTTGCAGTAAATTTCAAGAATTAATTAATTAAATTAATATTTAAGTATGATATGCTTGAATATGATTTTAGTATGATATGCTTGATTAATTTAGTTAATTAAAATCAATTGTTCAATTTTAAAAATAAAAAGTAAAACAGTATATTAAATGCCTAAATTTAATTTTCTAGGATTGCAAACTCAAAGGAAAGATGGTATTTTGGAATTCTTAACCTACCCTGCCTCCAATCTCATTGCCTTTACTTGAGCCAGAAGTTACGAATGTGATCAGTATCAAAAGTGGCCGTGCTCACAGTATTATTCTTACTGATAGAGAGGGGAGCTTTTACTATAGGAAATAATTCTTATGGCCAATGTGGTCGCCCCCCATTGATAAAATTGCGTTATATACTGAAAGTAAAGTATTGCCTTTTTCAATTCCAAAGGTTGGAAATGAAGATATAGTATCTATTCAATGTGGTCAAGATCATAGGTAAGCAATATATAGAGTAGTTCTTTGAAATCTTAGAATTCTTGTTTGTTGTGTTTTTTATCATATTTTTTTCTTATCTTTTTGCAGTTATTTTTTTATCACATCAGCATCAATTCTTAGTTACATTATGTATTTTATTAAAATTAAATGATACATATAGTAAGACTGTAACATAAAGAGTAACACTTAATAGTAAGAAATATATTTGTTATTCAATTTCTTTATTGAAAATTGTTTAGAGTTTATTTTAACATAACTTCTATATATAATTATTTAATCAATATGAA